ATATACCTTTCCTTCGCGTTCTATCTTTGGATACGCGAACTTTTAGGACCATCAAGATCAGTTTCTCCACATTCACAAAGGCATACGTGCTTTCGATGTACTGGTCGGCATTAACAATGACAACATTAGGAGAGCAGGTGTGAAATAAATTTATAAAACTCTTAAGCAGCAAAAGTCATGTCTTATCATTTAGCGACCCTGATCGTAGTGAACAGGCCCACTTGTTGCTATTTCTTAAAATGATTTGTTGAGCACCTTTCTGAAATGTATTCGCTACAGGGAGCAGACCTTTCTGATGTTCAAAGATAATATCAACACTTTTCGAGAAATCTAGACAAAGCAGTCCGATCACAAAACTCAAAATATTAGGGCGTCTCAGAGGTTCGTGACATTTTTTTCAATCTCATACGAAATCTTTCCGCAGCTATTTCGAGACCCAGTCATGCGGTCTATGGGAAGCGTATCGAGTAAGCAACAAACAGTGCTTTACCGTCCCTCGCAGTCATTGTTCTCATATCCAAGAAGCTAGATGAAATTCATCATTTTCATCGCACGTCGCTTTATGAATGCTATCAAGTCACAACGTGGTTGGAGCCACACGCGTCTGCTGTGAGTTAGGTCCTGATGCTACCTTCCAACTACAGCGTTGAAATGATCTGTTCGCTTTCGCTTAAAGACCCATGGTACGCTCAACACATTAAGGGTGTATGAGACTAACAGCCCCCAGCTGTCGATGTGTCGTGGTTTCCCCGCCCGAAACTGCACGGGGGTCCTAGTACGGGACCGTGGGAAAGGCTTATTCCTTGCTACACCGCCCAAAATTCACCGCGCGCAAGTTGCATTTCGCCGCGCGCAAGTTGCATTTTGGGCGGCGTAGCAAGGAATAAGCCTTTCCCACGGTCCCGTACTCGGACCCCCGTGCAGTTTCAGGCGGGGAAACCACGACACATCGACAGCTGGGGGGCTGTTAGTCTCATACACCCTCAATGTGTTTGTTAAGCCGTACATTGGGGATCCTTGGTCCAGATGTCTTATTTGATCGCTGGAGGGATGGGTCTTATCGGCCTTTGTTAAAGGGGGAATATAGCGCACTTGGAACAGGAAAAACCGAGAACATTCAGCACTGCATGTTCATCCACGGGAGCTTGAGAGCTACGCTGGTGGAA